TCTAATTATAATTTCATGAACCTTCAGATATTCTAACCAAGAATAAATAGATGTGACCTTGCAATTTGTTTTTTGAACTTGATAATAAACAAGAAATGAATCAGGCAATTTTTTTCTTTAATTTGATTAATTAATAATGTAAGAGTATATTACATTATTGATTTAAGATTCATTTTGGACAATTTGCACTTATTTATTTAATTTTTTTTCAATTAATGGAAATAAATGAAAGTTAAAAATCTTTGAGTATATTTAAAAGTTTAAATTTGAATTTATAATACTTTGTTTATTTAATGACATCAGATAGATTTTCAAATTATAATGCACGAATAATAATAAATTAGTTTTAACAAAATTTAAATTTCTAAATGTAAGGAATATATTTATTTTGTTTAACACAATAAAAGATATTTCGACAATTTTATTTTTGAAACAAACTATCTTGAACAGGTCTAAACTTAGATAGAAACTGGTAAACTGAAATTTTGATTACTGTATATAAAATATTCTAATAATGAAAATGGTGGAAATAAATTAAGTCATATTTAAAGTTCTGCCTTTGGACTGAAAATCTAAACTCGTACGCTTTTCTTTTAAATTTTATTACTCAGAATTTTGCATTAATCAATGAATGAGTAATAAAAACTCTTAAAATTGATGTAATATATCTACCAAAAATCAATTATTCAAATAGCTTTAGTATTTAACATTGAGATTAATATATAATAATAATGGCTATGGTAATTGCTACTATATGAAAATCATAAATCATTACTTCAATGTATATCTTCAATACAGCAATTACAACATTATAATTAATATTTATATTATATAACTTCTAATTACATTCAGATCATAAAATCATGAAAGATTATTTATGAATCTTTCAGATTTAGTGACGGATGAATTAGTTATGTAATGAATTTCTGATTCTTAATTATAACATATCTGATTTGTATGTGATAAATAACTTGAAATATTTCTTAATTTTTGCTATTTTGATTATTGAATCACTTGAATTTAAAAATATGATTATAAAATTTGTTTTTTATTTTACTTTGTGGACATTAAAACTAAACCATAAAAGTAACATATTGGCATTACATATTTATAGATTGAACAGTAATATATTTGATTAAGTTTAATTTATTTTCACAAACAGATATTCTATGTAACTTTTGTAGTTTACATTAGATTCAATGCAAATATTTTTAGAACAAAATAAAGGTATTTTAAGTAATAAATCAAAAATAATGCAAAACACATTAATTTAAGTAATAGTATTGTCAACAAACCTAATTATATAAAAACATTTTCTCTCACTAAAATATTCAGTATTTTACAAACAAAATAAGTGAAATATACAGTAGAGCAGTGTTTTTCAACCTGTGGGTCGCGGGTAAAAGAAAAAGACAAATGTTTGTAGGTCCTACACTACAATAAAAAAAACTACAATTTCAGTGAGAAGGCTGTGCCTGTTTATTTTACAGTACAATTGGTTTTTTGATTGATATTTAAATCTCAACAGAAAGAAAATTTAATACGTAGTTTTTAAAATCACTGACATAGTTTTAATATGGCCGTGGGGGATTGCCAGAATTTTTTAACTTATAAAGGAGTCTCGTATTCAAGAAGGTTGAAAAACACTGCAGTAGAGCATTGATTATCCGAATATCGATCAACCGAAAGTGTTCCAGTTGGCAAATTTAAATTTCCGCTAGGCTGTGGCACTGCAATATTTGGCTATGTCTTGGACTATCCAATATTATTTTTGTCGGTGTGCGCGTTTTAGCTGGCAGCACTAGCGTGACCAAGAGGGTACTTAAGGACGTGCCAGAATTTGAAAGAATTTCACCATGGGATAGGTTAATATATTTTTTTGTAATAATCAATTATACAAACAAGCCCAGTTCCGAATTGTTTCTGTTAATCGATTCTCTACTGTAATTGCTTGAATACTGACAAATGTATGGGATACCTGTCATCTTTATGTACATATACTTGGCCAAATCATAGCTTGCAAACAAGTGGTTCTTGAATGTCAATGCTGCAGTTTGTGCCGCATCTTGACAGATTCCAAGAGAAAAAAAAATATTATTGATGATATCTAAGTTATCATTTTTGAGAGTATATTTTAGAAAGGAAAATTCCTATTTACATCAACATCCATACAATAAATTAACAATCTGACTAACAAGAATGATACCATGACAATGTCATGTTGTGTTACTACATTACATTCTTTATGAATGGTCTTTTCTTCCTTAGAAAAACATTCAAATTTTCATATACAATTTCTGAATGATCAAATTTTATTCATCATTCAGAATAATAATTTCCTAAAAATTAATTTTGCAAAATAATATTTATAGTAAAGTATATCGTAACATGATTTAAATGGAAGAATGTTACAACAGATGGTAATTATTAAGTATATGCTAAAATTTTACTAAGAAAAAATAACCACGAGAGAGAGCAAGAGAGAGGGAGATTCTTTTTTTTGTAGGGAAAAATTTGCTTTTGTTGGCTTTGCTTAAGTACTTTTCTAAATACTAATTCTGAAACAACTTTAAATGCAATCTCAATTTGAAAGTGACCAAGACTTTTGTTCGATTTACCACATTCAATACATTTGCTATTGTCTCCGTAGAGATTTATAATTTTCTTCTCTTTATAACTATCACATTTTAACCAAAAATTATGATAATATATTATTGTAACAATATGATAAATGATTTTCATTCATTAACTTTGAAGTATTGATAACATTTCTCCATTTCAAATGATGTTTCCCCAGAATAAAATTCTTAACTTAAAGTAACTCTATATTAAAATCTGACCACATTTTTTAATAATTCAATGCTTTTCTATTTTTAAAACTTCAGTTTTAAATTCAATATTTGGGACAGATCTGAATCTGAAATTATGTAACTTTTTGAAATTTAATTTTCATAATTCTGTGTCTATTACAGCAAATTGCAGCTGAAATTAAATACATGGGATGATCTGTTCCAGTTTTTTGACACAACTGGATGTACATATTTGACTGTCCTCTTCAATTTCCATACATTCCACTTATTTAACTCTTTAATCACGAGCCCACCAGTGGCCGAGCGGATAAAACCACTGAATACTGATAGTTAGTCGTGGATTCGTGCCTCAATGGGCCAGTCACGTGGCCAACTTGTAAAAAAGGCCAGTTTCCCATAAAAGACCTCCTGGGAGGCATTCCCTCATTGGCAGATTGGTTATGGCAACATGACACGTGGGCAAATAAATCGAAATCAACTAAGGCAATTTTAGTTGATTTCATGTTTAATCTATTTGAGATAAAGTTGGCCAAAGGCAAAGTTGTTTGACTGGTTTTGTTTTACAAATTCCCCACTATTGAAGCCTAGCCTGAGGATAAAAATAATTTTGTATCCAGATATATAAACTCTTAAAATATTTTTTCTTTCTAAAGAGCTAATATATTCTTGTAATGCATTAATATATATTGATATTTTTCAATATTACTAATTTTTTGCTTTTATCCACTCTGGTGAGTAAGCATTTCACATTCATTAAAACTCACAAAAAGGAAAGCTTTTCAAACCATTTATAGAAAAAAGGGCATTCATCATTTAATATCAACATACAATATACAGAGGAATCTTGTTATAATGAACCATTCTGATGGAAAGAGAATATTTAACTGAAAGATTCTGTTGTGGATTACTATGGAAGTTGTGCCAGGGAAAATCTAGAAGTTTTTTATAACAAGATTCCCAGTATATTATATGTATAAATTATTGAAAATACTTTAAGAGCAATTTTTTCATTCTCTAGTTATATATATCTTTCACGTAATGTTAAACTTAGAACAAACAGCAGTTGAAAGATTCGTTTAGCTTGTGTTTGTATTAAATAAAATAACTAAGTCATACAGATTGTAAATTTTAAACAGTCATTTAAGAAAACATCAAAGTAATTTCAAATATCTTGTAAGATTTAATTTACATGATATTATTAAAATATAAATTCACAATGAAAAAGCTTTTTTTAAAGTAATTATATTATCATTAAACAATTATTTATCAACTAAATCATTATAAAAGGTTAATTAATGAATAATATGTTAAATTTAAAAGAAGATTTGAATTAAATAGAACAAATTTGATTAATTATTCAATATCATTTACAATAATTTCAAATTGTAATTTAAAGTTTTGATATTTAATCATTTTATCATGCATTTATACAATGACTAAAGAAAAATTAATGAAAAAAAAATTCAGTTATTTCTGTCAGTCTAAAAATACTCTGTAATAGGGAATCTGTTATAGACTAATCAAAGTCTACTAGAAATGACTAAATATGACTGAAGTGCAAAGCTTAAAATTTGGACCTGTTTACAAAATATCTACGGATAGTAGATATTTATAGATAAATAGAACAAATTCTTCACTATATAGCTTAGTATTCAATAATAATAATAATAATAGTTTAACCCAAAAGTCTATCCGGGAGCACCTACATCCCAGCATCGTTAAAAAGTCCTATTTCTTGCCACTAATTACAACCAAAGTTACGAGCACTTTGGTAGTTTCACATTGCGTGCAGTTGGTTTTTGTGCCACGCTTGACAAGTTTTTTTTATCAAGTTTTAATCAAAGGAAATTTCAAAGTGAAGTTAGGTATCTTTCACTATTTCTCAAGAACAGTTACTTAAATATCTGGAGAACTTATATTATAATATTTATTACCTTATTAATAACAAAATGTAGCGACGAGTTTTTCCATTTACACGTCAGTACGTAGTCGCCGGGATGGGATATACAGTCTCTGATCAGAAAATCGCCATCGTTCGACATTAGCTCTTCCGCTCTTTGACGAGGGATGGTCCCGTGATACCAGGCGTGACTTCTCAAATCGCTGTTACTTAGACTTAATTCCCATTCTAATGCTTTCTTTAGCTCTTCTGGAGAAGCTTCAGTACCAATCATTGGTTCCTTCAATCAAATACTTTTCATTAATTATTCATATATTGTTTTTAAATGACAAAATAATCTTTTTTTGTATATAATTTAGCAAATTATAATACAAGAAAACTAAGTAATCACTTGAAAATTTATGTCTTAAAATTTAAATATGATTAAATGCTAATATTTTATTCATTTCTCTCTCATCAATTCATACACAATGCAATAAATGTCAGAAAAGTTGATTGATAACGTAATATCTTCGGTTGTTATTAGTAATTTGAATATTATAATCTGCTCGACGTGAGAAGCGGACATCGTACAAAAACAAAAATACAGATCTGCAAATTTAATAATCTCCAACCATTTTACTTAAGCGAATGCGGCAATTGCATTTGATAATTCGTTTTGTTTTTTGTAGCATTAAAACAGCAAAATTATTATTACATTTAATATAAATGAAGTACGATAATGTACAGTACAGTAAACGTATTTACAACGTACGTATCGGTAACACACAAAAACTTAAGTGAAAGTATACTCGTGCAAAAACTGCAATAAATTAACAGTTTTTATACATCACATTAGTATAACAACGCTTTATAAAACAGTACTGTACATCTAGAGTTACAACAACAGACATCCAAATAATTCACTTTTTTGATTATGTTATATATATATATATATATAACATAAAGTTAAAATGCATTAAACTGTACAAGAATAAATCCGGCCGGTAGACATTTTTAGAAAGATAAGATCTCCGCACAATTGATCTAGCCTCGATAATCAAGAAACCGGAAAGCCATTTGTTCGGGCATTTCCGAAACGTATAACCGAGCTAAAATTTTCGACGAGAGATCCTCCTCTTCGCATTCGAGAAACGAATACGGTCTCGGCATTATTCGGCGAAAAGCCAATTTTATAAACGAGACCATTATACGTTCGGACGCACGCAATGAATCATGCAAAAAAATCCATTTTTTCATTATCTTAACCAATGTTCGGTGTGTGTAACGCTACGTAGAATCAATCACTCTTAGATACAGATACAGTATTTAGATTCAGCACAATGATACTGAATTGTGAGTATGATGTTACAGTTGTGTAAGAAGCAGTATCATATTTCATTATGATGTCAGAGGTTATGGGATTTGACTAGTTATACAATAATAAAATTTAGACACGTGAAACATCGGCTCCACTTTTTTGTTTATGTTAAAATTCAATCTGTAGCATTCAAGAGTTAATCTGACATCCTGCAACGAAAGAAGTGATGTTTACATTACGTCACATCCCTTTCAATTTTGCAGTAATGTCATCGTTTATAATTTATTAATATCCTTTTTAACTTTTAAATATATAATTAAATATATATACATTGTATCAAATAAAATATATATATATTTTTTATTATTATTTTTCTACTGCCATCTGGTTTACAAAATAATAACTTATATACGAGAATATTAAAGTTCTTACCATTTTTTTTTTTTATTTCTTAATATTTATCTGACATAAACTTCTTCATAATCTGAAAATTAAAAAAAGAAAATAACCTTTAAAATGATTTTTGTTTTGATTTTTTTTTTACAGTTAACGATTAAACACCCTCTGGCATAAAACGTGACTATTTTTTGTAACCTAGCAACCACCTGATGTTTTATTGCCATTTTTATTTTTAATTGCAAAAGAATGCTTTTAAATCTTTTTAAAAATCTTAATTACTACAATAAAAAAAATATTAAGAATTTTACAATTATTAGTAAACAATTTTTAGGCCCCACAACGGCATTTTTTAATTCCCTACGATATAACTCGCTAATTAAGTTTTATTCTTTTAAATTATTATTAATCGTAATAAATTTAATATGGATCACATAATCGTTTAATCTTTGCAGTAATAAAATGGTGAAAATCTCACCGAACTCGGATCGATAGATTATCCGGTTGTCATAGCAACTGCATCCAAAAACTAAAGAACGGAAAAGCATCGGCAAGCTTAACAATTTTTTAATCGCATTCAATTAAGCATTAAATCGCAGTTAATGATACAAATATTAATTAAATCGATATAAAGAAGGTATTTAAAAACGCAGGAGATTAATAAGTTTAGATTTTAATCGAAGAAAAAAAAAAAAAAGAAAAAAATCGATTCGGAAGGACAATTTACGGAAAATAAGTGCCAAAATTGCACAAACGCATTTCTCTTTGTTCGCTTGGGATATATATTAAATGCGGTTTATCTAATGGAATTTAAACGTTTAACTCACCTCAATGTCCTTTTAAACTTCTTAATAAACGTTTTAGAATTGTATTCTCTTCTCATTTTTCGCGAATGGTTACGTATTTTAACGTTAACATCGAGAAAACCTAAGCTGAAATCAATAGAGAAGCAGCCAGCATGTCTGTTATGAAGCGGAACCCAAACTGGACTATCCTATTTTTGCCAAGAAGGGATAGTGAAGTCGATATAGGATGAGATATTTCTACTAAAACTCGCTTTTCTTTCTTTTTATTTTTTATTCTCTCTTCGGAATTTTTCTATTGGGAGAAACAAACAAATGCCTACTATAAATTTCTCATAAAGAATTTTAACGATTTCCTCGAACGATTATAATTATATAAATTGTTTGATAGATGTGTAAACTCACTATAAATCTATGTACATTGTAATAATATGTCATATTGTTGTTTATATAGATCTATCTTGTTAATTAGGCAGTAGTTGGTTTAATAAATAGATTATATGTATTTGTGTGTATGCGTGTGTTTGCGTATAGATAAGTAGGTGTGTATACGTTTTGTGTGTGACTTTTTGGTGATACATTGAGGGTGTACAAACTTATTCTGCGACAATACATCTCATTATACGCCGTACTATTTCGGATACACCCTAGTTGTTTTTCTATATAAAAAAAAACACGTTCTTGTCACGATTATTATATTAAACGAGAGATATTTTCTAGTTCTATAAATTACTTAATTAAAATTTTATACACAAACTTGTGTACGCCTCATAAGGACGAAGAGTATACATCAATGATTATATTATCTAAACGTATTTATATTATTGAGAAAGGAATAAAAGTATTTTTGAGTTGTGCTGANAAAAATACCTTCAACTCTTTTATTTTTTATTCAATCACGACAAAAAGGTGATTTATTTTTTTCTAAAGACAAACTTTAATTCTTTTTTTTTCTGATTTTCAAAATGAAATCTAATACACAGTTACTATTTACTGTATATTTTCTACAAGTATACACTTTATGTATTCTACAATTGATTGTCCATTCTTAAAATTGGGATGAAAACGTTATAAATATCTGACAAAATTTTATTTACTTCGTCCAATTAAGTTTTTTTTCCCCCTCCACTTCTAATTTTTGTTCTATATTAACATAAAACAAGGAAAAGGCACAGCACATCCGATAAAAAAAAAAAGAAAAAATAATTCAATAATAATTCACGAATAAACACCACTTCTCGTTTGCATTTACCACGTGACTGGACGCGATAGGTGGATTTAAATCGTCGACATAAAATACCAACATCCGATTGGTAAATTCGAATTCAAATTTCTTATTAAAATCAATCAATTTCAAAATTCGAATTTTCTGACTTTCTGCTATGTTTACGTTGAGTTTAAACGTTTACACATTTTTTAAAACTATTGTAGAATGTTTTTTTAATTAAAAATTGTCAAAAAATTAATTGTTTAGTTTCAAAATTTCATCTTATTATTATTTTTTAAAATTATTTTCCTTCATTGATTAGATTCTAATGATTCGCAAGTCGGGATGCTACTCGACCATTTACCGTCTTTTAAACATTGAATTATCTTCGATCCTTTCATTTTATATCCATTCAAACATTCAAATATTACAGTTTCGTTAACTGTGTAGTAAAATTTAACAGGTGATAAAATTGCACCTTCTGTACTACCAGGATACGAGCATACAGGCAAACCTAAAATATTAAAAAAATTTTTTTAGTATTATTACATTAAAAAACACACCTAAACTACAGTATTAAAGTCAAAATAAAATTAAAATAAATTAGAAAATATTTTAAAATAATTATTTTATCGAAAATAAATATTCGGTGGCACCATCTACTGGCGATTCCGGTAATTATGTACCGTACTTTAAAAAAAAAGAACTTACATTGCGGTTTATCACTAGACCAACGTCCATCTTCTTGACAAACTAAAACTATAGGACCATCAGCCATGTAGCCTTCATCGCATCCAATTAGTAGCATATCACCGTGTCGATATACGTAACTTTTATTACCGATAACGTGTCCGTGAATGGGGAGTTCGGGAGGTTCGCAAGTTTCTTCTGAAATTTAAGTTTTAGATTAATTATTAGACAGCAAAACTTTGAACAATGGAGGGATATAAAAAAAAAGAAAAGAAAACAATGTCTTACTTGTGCAGTATGGTATTGGTGCTGACCATTGTCCTGTATCTAGACAAGTGATTTTATCGGAACCTTTTAAAATTGATCCTTTTGGACAAGAAAATCTTGCAGTTTTTCCGATTTTAAATCCATCACTGATTATTTTCATCGGGGGAGATGTCACTTTCGAAGGATCTGGACATTCAGTAGCTGGAATACAAAAATATAAAATAAATAATGTTCCTCTATGGAATTTTTCTGCAGGAATATATTTTATAACAAATGTCCTATTGCTTATGAAATATACTCGCATATCGCCCATTACAATGAAACAATACATTTTTTTTTTATTTTGAGCATTTGAGTTCTGTACTCTTCCAAGAAAAAGAATTTTTTTACTATTATTTACGTTCAAAATATATTAATTTAATGACTACAGATATACGAGGAACCTGTATAGGTTTACCCCTATCTACTAGTGTATTAATTTAATGATATATGGTTAACCTGTATACTCCTATCACCCCCACGGTGGTATACTCATACCTGTAGGAAATTCGTATTTAAAAAGATGCTGTAGAGTTTCTCTATCGATTTTTTTTCGTGCAACACACACTTCCACATATTCTTTATTATAGAAAAAAATTAAAATAATATTTTAAAAAATTACTATTCCACTTAGAAAGCGAAAAAAATAAATAAAACTATAATCAAATTATAAACTCGAAAAAAAAATCCGTGTAATTATTTAGCAAATATTTAAATTTAGAAAAAGCATCATTCAAATGTCCAATTAAACAGGAAGTGTTGATGCATAAATTTGATCATTTTATCTTACTTTTCTCTTCCCTGCTTATCAATCTTAATAAATATAGAACTGTGTGTGACTGATATTTCTTTTTTTGAGAAGAATTTTTCATTTTTTAAAGAGAAATTTTTGCTTGACTTCAAAACGAAAGATAGAAAAAAAAAAGTATATATATATTATAGTGATAATAAGAAACGTTAGAAGATAATGATACATAATATTTGGTTATTCTAGGGCTATATTTATACGGTTTTTCTTGTATAAATAATTCAAATCTCTTTAAAAATTACTCGAAACTGTTGAGTTTTTTTAAATATATCTTCTTCTCTTGACAATATAAAATGTCACCATAACTTAAGATAAATGAATTTGTCGATATCAGTTAAAAGTTTTTCTAACTTGATTAATATTTCATATATTTCTTCAAGAACAGATGGTTTTTGAACGAAAAATAGTTTAATTCAAATGTATTTTGTGATATTTTTATGGAAAAAGTATATAAAGATAAGAAAAAAAAATACCTTCAACTCTTTTATTTTTTATTCAATCACGACAAAAAGGTGATTTATTTTTTTCTAAAGACAAACTTTAATTCTTTTTTTTTCTGATTTTCAAAATGAAATCTAATACACAGTTACTATTTACTGTATATTTTCTACAAGTATACACTTTATGTATTCTACAATTGATTGTCCATTCTTAAAATTGGGATGAAAACGTTATAAATATCTGACAAAATTTTTATTTACTTCGTCCAATTAAGTTTTTTTTCCCCCTCCACTTCTAATTTTTGTTCTATATTAACATAAAACAAGGAAAAGGCACAGCACATCCGATAAAAAAAAAAAAAAAGAAAAAATAATTCAATAATAATTCACGAATAAACACCACTTCTCGTTTGCATTTACCACGTGACTGGACGCGATAGGTGGATTTAAATCGTCGACATAAAATACCAACATCCGATTGGTAAATTCGAATTCAAATTTCTTATTAAAATCAATCAATTTCAAAATTCGAATTTTCTGACTTTCTGCTATGTTTACGTTGAGTTTAAACGTTTACACATTTTTTAAAACTATTGTAGAATGTTTTTTTAATTAAAAATTGTCAAAAAATTAATTGTTTAGTTTCAAAATTTCATCTTATTATTATTTTTTAAAATTATTTTCCTTCATTGATTAGATTCTAATGATTCGCAAGTCGGGATGCTACTCGACCATTTACCGTCTTTTAAACATTGAATTATCTTCGATCCTTTCATTTTATATCCATTCAAACATTCAAATATTACAGTTTCGTTAACTGTGTAGTAAAATTTAACAGGTGATAAAATTGCACCTTCGGTACTACCAGGATACGAGCATACAGGCAAACCTAAAATATTAAAAAAATTTTTTTAGTATTATTACATTAAAAAACACACCTAAACTACAGTATTAAAGTCAAAATAAAATTAAAATAAATTAGAAAATATTTTAAAATAATTATTTTATCGAAAATAAATATTCGGTGGCACCATCTACTGGCGATTCCGGTAATTATGTACCGTACTTTAAAAAAAAAGAACTTACATTGCGGTTTATCACTAGACCAACGTCCATCTTCTTGACAAACTAAAACTATAGGACCATCAGCCATGTAGCCTTCATCGCATCCAATTAGTAGCATATCACCGTGTCGATATACGTAACTTTTATTACCGATAACGTGTCCGTGAATGGGGAGTTCGGGAGGTTCGCAAGTTTCTTCTGAAATTTAAGTTTTAGATTAATTATTAGACAGCAAAACTTTGAACAATGGAGGGATATAAAAAAAAAGAAAAGAAAACAATGTCTTACTTGTGCAGTATGGTATTGGTGCTGACCATTGTCCTGTATCTAGACAAGTGATTTTATCGGAACCTTTTAAAATTGATCCTTTTGGACAAGAAAATCTTGCAGTTTTTCCGATTTTAAATCCATCACTGATTATTTTCATCGGGGGAGATGTCACTTTCGAAGGATCTGGACATTCAGTAGCTGGAATACAAAAATATAAAATAAATAATGTTCCTCTATGGAATTTTTCTGCAGGAATATATTTTATAACAAATGTCCTATTGCTTATGAAATATACTCGCATATCGCCCATTACAATGAAACAATACATTTTTTTTTTTTATTTTGAGCATTTGAGTTCTGTACTCTTCCAAGAAAAAGAATTTTTTTACTATTATTTACGTTCAAAATATATTAATTTAATGACTACAGATATACGAGGAACCTGTATAGGTTTACCCCTATCTACTAGTGTATTAATTTAATGATATATGGTTAACCTGTATACTCCTATCACCCCCACGGTGGTATACTCATACCTGTAGGAAATTCGTATTTAAAAAGATGCTGTAGAGTTTCTCTATCGATTTTTTTTCGTGCAACACACACTTCCACATATTCTTTATTATAGAAAAAAATTAAAATAATATTTTAAAAAATTACTATTCCACTTAGAAAGCGAAAAAAATAAATAAAACTATAATCAAATTATAAACTCGAAAAAAAAATCCGTGTAATTATTTAGCAAATATTTAAATTTAGAAAAAGCATCATTCAAATGTCCAATTAAACAGGAAGTGTTGATGCATAAATTTGATCATTTTATCTTACTTTTCTCTTCCCTGCTTATCAATCTTAATAAATATAGAACTGTGTGTGACTGATATTTCTTTTTTTGAGAAGAATTTTTCATTTTTTAAAGAGAAATTTTTGCTTGACTTCAAAACGAAAGATAGAAAAAAAAAAGTATATATATATTATAGTGATAATAAGAAACGTTAGAAGATAATGATACATCTTGATCTCTGTCATTTCCAATAAGAATCGAATAATTCAGTGCGCCTTTCTATCTTCGATCTGACACTTTACCTTATCGTCTGATCAATCATAATCCGATCAATCATTTCCTGTACTGTTTGATATATAATCGACGATTTAATCAAAAGTGCTGATTTTCTGTATAAAAATGAATTCACAGCTCCTTTTCTCAATTTTTATTACTTGAAATTTTAAAATTGTGATCATTATAATATTTTTAAACGAAAGAAAATATACGCTTATGTTTAATAAGCGCAAATTATATAAATTTGATGTAATAAATATTAAATAAAAATTATTTAACACCCAAATTTAAATGTAATTAATTTTTTTATTGATTAAAATCAACAGATGGCGACACTATAAATAATAATAATAATGTATTGTTTATAGTTTTAAATTAATAGCGAAGATAGCGGCGCTCGACGTTCGACGTTCACGTTCTACAGATGAAAACTTCGGCCGCAACCTCGCTATTTTAAATTAAATTTACTGTTAAAAATTAATTTACTACAAACAATTTATTTTGTATAGCGCATAAAATAATAATAATAATAATAATAATAATTTTCTAAAAATTTAAAATATTTTTAAGATAATTGTTCTTACCGATACAATGAGGAAAGGGTGCAGACCATCTTCCAGAAGGTAAACATGTAGCTTTTTCGCTGCCAATAAGATTTTTAGGTTCCTCGCAGTGAAAAACAAGTTTGGTATTCATCATACGCTTATTAGTATTTGTGTACAAACCATAAATTTGAGGTACAGGTGGGCAGTCGATGGCTGAAGAAAGATGGATTTAGAAATTGCACTCGTTCATCATCATCATAGCAAGTCCATTAGCGACTTACCTATTACCAATATATTGATGGAGTGTCTATGATTCATGGGCGTTATACAAGTGTAAATGCCGGAGTCCGATCGCTGGGCGTGGTAAATGGAGAGACGATATTCGAGTTGTGGATCCCTTCCCGGTTCATTAGTCCATCCTAGAAGAGTAATTTCGGTTTAGTTAATTGTTTTGTCGTACGTGTCCGTAGACTCGACACTAATTAAACCAGTCTCTTCGAGATCAACCTTTTGATAGTGTTTCTAGTAATAGGGCTTGCATTATTTGAATTAATTCTCGACATATTTTTAATCTAAGTAGCCTAAATCTTTATTTTATTAAAAATAATAACGAGTATAGAAATATGAGAAAAATCAACATTCATTTACTTTATTCTACTTTGTTAGGAAGTTAATTAATAATAGCTTTTGCTTCTTCCATTATCGTGAGGTGATATTTAACAAGAGTTTCATTATCTTATCTACTGTTAAGTAAATATTTATTTCCCCTTTTCCCACCTATCTTAGTTGATTACTCTTCTACTGGAAGACCCTGACATGGTTCAGGAATTGCAACCCACCAGTGACATTCCTGAAATACGTGAACAGTTTAGCCATTAGACTCTAGACATTATTTTCTTGTTTTATTGATAGTAACCTGTACGGAGTCTAAACAGGGCGCGTTATAGTTTCATGAGGCCCAGGCAAGTTTGAATTAGGAGGCCCCTGTACTGTGTTGACTTCAGATATTTTTCTTTGAGAGATTTTTTATATATATATAAAGATTGGTTTGGAGGCCTTGTTGGTGAGGACTCCAGGTAATTGCCCATAGGATAACGTGTCTAAAACCTATTCATAAGAACGATAAATAACAAATTTAACAACAAGATATAATAATTAATGTGTAAGCTAATAATACTTAAATTAAGGTAGAATATTTACGAATTCGATGGAAGAAGCACGGATTGAAAACTGAAAATTTGGAGTCATCTACAACCTCCGATTTCCCAAGCCATTGCTCGAATAGTTTGATTATTATGTTAGAAGCAATTTACACACAAACCTTCTGGATATTTCCTATTTGCTGAAGTACGAATTTCCCATCGAGGTGTTCCATATTTTCTTATCCATAAACATTCGAGATGAAGAATAGTTCCTGGATAAACTAGAAGTTTACCTTCATTGCTTTGAGCTATCTCTCCTAATCGATGCCGGAATAGAATTGTTGGAGGTTTTTCCACTAATAATAAATATAAAATTAATGTATATTAAGTTAAAAACAACAATATAATAAGTTATTATTATTTATAAAATTAAAATAAATGGGTTTAATGCATGTACAGTACATACACAAATACTTTCTTTTCGGGACTCAATTTCCATCTAAAATAATTCTTGGTATTAACTACGATGTCAATATTGGTGCAAAGGTAAAGTAAACTAATGATGTTGACACATCTCATCAACTAGAATGTAGCCGATGTGTTTAAGTATTTTTCTTTACAAAGTGTAGAGTAGTTTTAAAAGTTTTAAATATTATATTTGTATAGATTATAAGCTTGGAAGATGGAAAAAAAAATGGAACGGAAAGTTGTTAAATTAAACAACTTCTAAATTACTTACAGGCATAATCGCTTTCTTGAGATAAACCAATACATATGGGAGGTATTCCATCCCATTTTCCTCCTCGACATCTGAGTCTAATGCTTCCTCTCAGTTGATATTTTCCAATATCACGACATCGGAAAATTATTTCTGTTCCTGTTTCGAATTCTATTAAATCGCCCGCTAGCTTTCGATCGCCGATAAACATGACTAAATTCTGATCTGTACGTTTAAAAGTACAGTTTTTGTTGCTATATTCTACAATTTTCTCGTCTGAAAAAGAAAAATATATATATATTTTTTAAAATTATCGTTATTATAAACAATTTAAATTAAAAACTTTTAAACATTTGCTACAGAGATTAAAAAATGAAATATAAGTGACTTGTCTGCACCGTTTACTCAAATCCATATTTACGTTTACTTCGACGGAAGTAAAATACGAATTATAATATGTATTAAGTCTATTTTCGCAAGCGTCAAATCAAGCATTTTACTATTTACAATTGTAATAGTTATTTCTTTTTTTATTTACTCTAAAAATATTTAAATAAATTGTTGATATTTGGAATTTTTATGGTATGCGCGACGTGACGCAACCATTGAGAAGCGACGTGCACCAAAAGTAGATTATAGTTTGTTAAATACTTAAAAATAATAAGATTAGCAATGAGTTGAGATTAATAAGTTTACTTTCTCGTTAAATTGCATTAAACTATAAAATAAAATTAAGTTTATTGAACTTCACGATAACAGATTTATCACCTGTATGCAACAATTAGTCATCTGTTCACGTAATAAATTATTATTTATCATTGCGTATCATCGATTAAAAGTCTTGAAGATGATTCTACTTCAACAATTTTATGTAAAGATCTTAAACTTAAACTAATTCCTCGAATACGATCGTTTTATTTCCATTATACCGTCAATAAAACAGCTTGTATATACAGTATTAATCTTTGAGATTATTTTGATAATAAAGTTCTTGATAAAGCAAACAAAAGAGGAAAAATTGAATAAAATTAGGCTCGATTATTAATTTTCAATCATTAAAATAAAATCAAACAAGGACAAACCACACTCTTCAGCTCTTCCAATCCAATTACCATCTTCGCAGATAATCTTCCAGGAGATTTTTTTACCTCTTAAAGGAACCAAACATTTATAAAGAATTTCTGTTCCGTGAGGATATTTCGATAATGCACCGTTATTAGATGCTCCTTCGAGATAAGAGGGTTTAATAGCTGCATTAAATATTAACGATTGCTTTAATGGTTTAGGAAGACTGCATGACCTTCTAGTATTTGCTAGTGATGCAGCATCTGTTAATTCTCCGTATAACTTCCATTTTTTCTTGGTATACGTTGCTGTATGGATGGATAATTTATCGAATACATATAATAAAAGTTTGACGAAATTTACAGTTTTGTGAAGGTGTTAAATTTTTCTTACCGGGAGGTAACGACGGTGTTATTTTATCACAGCGTGGTTCTTGAGGCAATAACTGACCTTTTATACATCGTATTGTATCTGCTGATGCTTTTTCGTGTGCCGAAGAACAACTGTAATCAATGGATGATTGATGGGAGATTGTTAGACCCGCTCTATAACCCCCCAGGTAGTATCCATCTTCTATAATGGGCAGAACACAAGGACCTGATGATGATAAGTATAAATTTTAAATATAACTAAGATTAAATTGGGAATAGCTACAACCTATATTAAAGGTGTTCACATCAAGATCTTTCGACACTATCATCGCTTTCATAATTTATTTATTTTATTTATTTATTATTATTATTTTTGCCAGTTTAAGTTGGCAAACGTAGATAGATTACTATAAGTTTGTTTACAAGAAGCCATGATAGCCACAAAAGTACTGCGTGAAAACCCCTTTAAAAGCAAGCTGCTGTTGTTGTTTTTGTGGAATCTTCCTGATATTTGAGAATATTTGTTCCTAGTTTATGCATGTATTTTTAGCTGTACTAAAATTATACACGAGTTATCAATTACCTGGAACGCATTCTGGCATCTTTTTTGTAGACCATTGGCCATACCAACATCTGGACGATTCCGAGCCAACGAGCTGGAAACCAGTTTCACATTGTAAGAAAACTAATTCGCCATGAGGTATAAAACTTCCATTATTGACAGTTAGCCCGAAATGGTGATAAACTCCATTTTTTACCAAAGGTACTGGGCACGGCGCTAAAAAATTAGATATTAAAAAGTTTGTTAGATAAATGGTTATGAGTAGGAAGAGAAAGAGAGAAGGGGGGGAATATATACAAAGTTATAAGCTATAAAAAAACTGAAGAAAATTAAATTTTTTTTCCTTCTTAAAATGAAATTTCTTAGATGAGAAATGTTGCTGTTTAATATTCAACTTGCAAATCTCTTGTTTGTCGTTAAAAATTTAGATTTTTATAATTTAATAACTTCGGTATACTTGATAATTTTTCTGCACAAAGATCGTTTTAGAAAAATTGTAAATTGAGTAAATATATGCAGTTGTAAGCATCATAATTTAACAGTAAACAACAACGCAGAAACTTTCATTGTATTCTTCTTATATTTTGACTAAAAGATCATTAGGGCTTATGCGATTACGTGTATTAAAACTTTCGATATATTTTTAAGCTCTACATTTTTCTTTAGTCGATTTAAAAAGGTTTGTTCTTTACGAATAATAGACACTATTAATTCTTCGATTTTTGTATTATCTTAAAAATAAATGAATCATAACCAACACTGAACAATGACGATAGCAAAGAAGAACCCAGTAGAACCCTTGCTGTTATTCAGACAGGTGACACACCTGGTGAAGTTACGTACACGTGACACATTGAGGTTCCATAGGCTTCCACTTTCCTCTCACACACCTGGCAGTTCTGTTTCCAATGTTTAATAAATATCCTCGATAACACTGTGCACGAACTACTGTGCCGTGGGGTACGTCTTCGTTTCCTTTACCCATCTTTACGATTGATATTCTCATCCAAGGTACGTTGTCAATCAAAGGACACCAGTCTAAATAATAGCAAAAGGTTTAATTATATTGTTATTATTTACATTTCTTTTGAATACTAAGACGAAACATTTCTAACTTACCCTTTGTTCGCCGTTGTTTCTTCCTACCGAATTTATTTCTTCTAAATCGATTAATATCTTGTCTTTGAAAGCGCCTGATAGCCTTTTCTCTTCTATTACGAACAGATCTGATCCATCGAACGTTGGGATGAGAACCTTTGACGCACTGAGGTAATTCTTTTGGGCTCCATTTTCCAGCAACGCACGTAGCCCCGGATGGCCCATTGGAGAGGGTATAGTGGCGATTACATTCGTACATCACCTGCTTATCATTCGGAACTTTCTTGACGTAAGGCCTGTAATCATACATTCCCATATGTCCGACTAGAAGAATTCTACCATTTTCTAAATATCCAGGAAACTTGCAATATACTATCGAAATTTCATTTATTAGTAATCTTGTTAAATTGTACAAGAGTTTCGTTACTTTTAATATCGTTGTACTACTTACCGACATTGCATGCGGGTGTCTGTACCGACCACCTTCCAAAATTGCATTCTGTGACGTTTGGACCTTCAAGTTCATAACCATCGTTGCATCTAAACAATGCCTTCATACCATGATCTGTTTTGGGCGCGATCACCATCCCATTCAAAGGTCTTTTTGGTAACTTCTTACAGCGTGCTGTAAACAACACACCAGGTTTACATCTATTATTTAATTATTTAGAAACCCTATAAATTAAATTATATATAAATTTCATTATAAAAGAAAAAAAATTTCAAATGGTTCCTTAGAAACTTCCATAAGTATAAAAGTAAACAGAAATATTCAAATTTAATTCTAAACAATTTTATTTAATTTTTTAAAAAGTATATTATATCGAAGGATAAACTTATATTAAAAAAAAAACACTTTGAAATATTTCTTAATAAATCTCTTATAAATATTTAAATTTGATTAGCATAACGAATCTGTTAGTCATCTAAATATTTTTAAAACTCTGGATATTTATAAAAATAGCATTTCTTTTAAAATAAATACAACAAAAGAGTTAAAAATTCAAGGAAATTTGCATTATAATTCAAGCCAGTCTTCACCTGAATTGCAAATGCTGCCAATATATCCTATTTCTGTATAAATTGACTATCAAACCTAAGGATATACTTTTTTTTTCCCGTTGTTAAACTTTTTCTTAGACGTTTTCGTGTGGAAAATTTATTAACTGTTACTATATTAAACTCTCTTCTTCTTCTTTTTTTAATATAAAAATAGAGTAAAACTTACTAATTTTAAAATTTTTTAACTGAATAAAAACATATTAAACTTATAAAATTGAAATATTTTAATTTTTTTTTTTTAATTGTACAGATTTGCCACTTTGAATTGTAAATTTTAAAATAAGCCAATCAATGTCGGTCGTGTATTTAAATTTTAAAATCGTTTGTATATTCCACTAATTATATAACTCGGGAATTCAGATTAGCAAATCAAAATTTAATAATAATCATAGTATTAAATTCGAAATCGAGGATATTAAAATGTGATCCAATCAAAATTTTTAAATTAATTATAAAAATAGAACGGAAATATCACAGAAATACGATTATAAATTCAAATTTTCAAACTAACCAATAGCGGTCGAGCAATGTTTTAAATCGACCAATTACGTGTAAACGAAATAAAAAAAAACGTCATAACAACGTGCTAATGACGTTAAACATTTATGACATCACATTCATCTGCCAATCGAATTAGTTACAACCTCGAAACGTCACGAATGCTTATAAAAATCTAATCCAGTGACGTCACGTAATTAAACAATGAAAATCGAGGAAATTGAACAATGTTTAATTAGCAATATTTAACTAACTGATGATTTTTTTCACCTTCTTTTTAAAAATTAAAAGTCGAACGAATAGTTTGTTAATAACTTTTCTCGGTGTATTAAATGAAGAAACGAAAAAGGAGGGAAAAAAAGGGATTAAAACTTTCATTTACTTATTAACTTGATTTTTCATCTTTAAAATGTTTAATTATAGATAACACATTTTAATATCAATAGAAAATAGACAGAGAAGAGTAAAACTAAGAGGGAAAAAAATTATCTTTACGGGATGCCTATCCTTTTAAGAACGATATCAGCAAAATAATTAAAGTCCTTAAGACAGTTGATGCCTTTTAACGTCATTTACGGATGAATTGACAATCTCGTTAAGCCATCAAGCAGAAAATAAGAAGAAAAAAAGAGTGAAAAATCAATAATTTCAAACAAACGAACAAATAATTAAAGAAATATATATATTCGCCACCAATTAAAAAAAATATATATGTCCTGCCCCGCATCAAAATGGTATTCAAAGCTTATGCCTAAAATGATTTTACCTTTACAGAGAAATCAACGATAAAAAAAATTATTAATCACACAATTTTTATTCTTTTCGTATTTTAATAAATAGAAAATAAACTTTAATAATAATAAAAAAACGACGACACACACACACACTCAAGTCGTATTGTTTAAATTCAAATTTTAAAAAGAACTGTGACGTAATTTAAAAATAATAATAATAAAGTTTATTTAATCGGATTAAAAACGAATTATTATATCGTTTTTGTTTAGGAGATTTTCTTTAAAAAAATCATTTTTAACGTAAAATGAATTTAATTAAGATACCGGCATTCTTCCATTGATTTATTGTATCGTTAAATTTAATCCAATCATCTTTTCCCGTTATCATCGGTAGCAGACGACATTTCTATTTCCGGTCATCGATATTCATTACTTTTAAAACTCGTTAAATAAATTTATCTTTTGTAGCTTTTCAAAAACATTATTTTTTTTCTATCTCCTTAAATAATAAATAAATTTAATAATTATCAGTGATATAAATGCTGAAATTAAATTAACGATAATTTCTTAAGTAATGTAATTATTTAATCCAATCAAGTTACAGAAATTCCGTTACACAACAGAGTTTATTTATTTATTTATTTATTTATACCTTGAAGCGTAAACAAAGATCGTTATTGAATTATTACGCGTGTATAAAAGTAAAATATTAATTTAAAATTTAAAAGTCTAAAGAATAACATTATAAACGGTTAATTAAATTTTATTTTATTATCACGTAAAATTTTAAAAATAAGATGGAAGAAAGAATTGTATTACTTAATCAAAATTTTAGGATAAATCCTTCAATAAAAATATAAGAAGAAGAGTAAAAAAAATGTTTTTTTTTTTAATTTCAATTAATTTATCGAGAGTATTAAGAGAGTGCGCGTGATTGGTCACGTCTTTTTTAAATCCTACCAATCACACGGCGAATTGATCAATTTTAAATTTGAATATTTGAAAATATATGACTCATTATTTGTACGATAAATTAGGAAACTAAAAAACGATCGAAAGGATTTTTAAACATTAAACACGAATTATGTATTATTTAAAGTCAGGTAAATAAAAGTCAAAATATTTACTATTAAATAGATTACAGTATTTATTAAAGCATTGTTTTGTGTTTACCTGGCACACAGGTGGGTTTGTGGGTCCAAGTTCCATTATTACAAATGGCAGGAGTCACATTATATCTTAGATCGTAATGAGGTATACAATCAACAGTTATATTTTCTCCGTGGTTAACTTTAGATCCAGGAGCCATTTCATTGACTCTTCCGTAATCGATTTCGGGTACGGTGCAAGGCGCTAAAGCAGAAACATATGTAAATTTTATGCAAATACCCTTGAAGAATGTTATCTGTAACTTACGAAATAATATGATATACAAATTATAGATGACCGTATTGTTTATCGCCCGTTTTTGAGTGAAGAATGGGGTCTAAAAAGGGCTAAACTTAAATATTTTTAAAAAAATTATTTACAGATTGACTTATAAATTGGTTATATTCCATTAGAAGACCCATAAAATGGTCCCGTTTAAAATTTTACGCTATTTTTGAGGATTAAAAACAGGAGAAATTCGGCACTATCCCGGACAAACCGTGACGTATGATCACCCTATTTATAGGTGCTGTTATAAAACAAGACTGAAATTATTATATAATAAACGCCCATTTTCCCTTTAAAGGTGTAGAAGTTAACTAAATGTTTCTCTTTCATTAATTAAACTAACTTATAATTATATATTTGAGCTGTGCATTGATGTAATAACTACAGACCCGTAACAATTATGGCGTTATATGATATAATCACCTAAACATTTTGGGAGAGGATGCGACCAAGTTCCATCTTGTAAACAGGTAGTCGATATGTAATCACCTTCCATAACCATATCATCTAAACATCTGAACAATAAAACAGCACCTAATCTGGTATTGCTTCCTTTCAGATGGCCATTATACAGTTCACCGGGATTACCACAATCAATTTCTGCGTAAAAAAAAAACTATATATTTAATTATTTAAATTTCTAAAAATAGTTTAGAACAAAGGAAAACTTTACCTTCGCAGACCGGATCACTTCCTTCCCACTGTTTATTAGGACCACAGGTGCGAGTCACCTGACCGGCTAACCTGTAACCATACTTACAATCGTACTTTACCACCGAGTTATAAGAAACAACTGTAAATAACGCGCGACCGTTGGGTGGATTTGCGGGTATAGGACATTCGATTGCTGAAAAAAAAAAAAGAGAAAGGAAAGGATTCGATAAGTCTACGCCATAAAAATAAAGTATGGAAGTTATATAAACTTACGTCTACAAGAAGGAAGAACTCCGCTCCATTCTCCGTTTGATTGACAGTATCTGTTTGCCCTTCCGACCAGTTCATAACCGTCTAAACAGTGATAAGTTACTCTACTGGTAAAGGTGAACAGATCTCCTTCTCGTCTACCGTTCTCTACTTCTCCTGGAATTCCGCAGCTACGTGCTGAAGTAAAGGAAGAAAACATCCATTAATGTCAATCCCGCAAGGATAAAGAATACGGTTTTGCAATAGTGTTTACGTCACTTACGTATACACCTAAGTTCCAGTCCAAACCATTGAGTAGTGCCGTTATGAAAAAGGCATTTGGCTCTCGAATAGCCGGATGCATCATAACCAGGGAAGCATGTGTAATCAACTAGTGCATCTACATCATATTCGTCTTTCTCTGCAGTTCCATTGTGTCGAGCGTGCAATATTTGTGGCGGTGCGCCGCACATTGCTACAAGTATGCGATAAATATTCAAATATAATATATATGTTTTATTATATGTTATTCCGTATAAAAAATTTCGTATCGAATACATAAAATTTTAAAACAAAACACGCGTATGTATATATTTTATAGAAAGTGTATTAATATTTTGCTAAAACGAAAATAGAATTTGCATTTCTTATGAGACCATACCAAAAAAAAAAAAAATTGTAGTTATTTTTCTTTGGTGTTTAAATTTAGAATTTATACAGGAAAAAAATACATGAGAATTTTTACACAAGAAACTCATTTTCGACAAAATAATCGATAGACCATTTGCTATATAATTCCGACTTCTCGTGAAAAAGTACAGACTCATAATTTTAATGTTTTGAACAAGAGAATGCACTTTTAGTTTAGAAAATAAATTACTGGTGTTTTATATTGGGTCAAATATTCTTTTTTTTTTCTTTTTATTTTAAATATTAAATACCTTTCCTTCTGCATTCTGGAGAACGGTCGCTCCAAGAGCCATCACCTTGACACACACGTTCTTTCGAACCAGACATCCAAAATGCTTCGTCACACGTGTAATGAACTCTGGCACCAAAGTGATCTCCTGTTACTTTAAACTGTCCATTTTCGATAGCAGTTAATTCATCGCAATGTAAATCTTAAGAAAAAAAAAGAGGAGGAAAAAAAAGTCTAACCAAACTGGATATGTTGTATGCGTGATAACTTTATTTTTTTTTTCTTTATTTTCCTTTTAAATAATTGATTAGTAGAGTCTACTTGAGAATGAATGATTACTACCAGGATTATTTAAAGAATTACAGCACGGAAGGAAAGAATTTACGAACACACCCATGTTATTCATAAATTATACATATTTCTAACCACGATACATTCGTGATGAGATGTAATATATGGTACTTATAATACAGAAACAACTCTAACAAATTATCTATAAGAAAAAAATATATATATACATATTAGATTTAAAAATTTATGAAATTATCTGAACTCACCGGGTCGTACGCAGCTCCATCCACATAATCCATCACATAAACAACGCTTCCTCGAACTAATACATTCACCGTCTGACTGACACTTTCGGAGACATTGTCTTCCAGTTGATGCTGCTTCTTCACGATCACGTGGGCATCCTTCCGGATCAACAAGTTGATGCTCCATATCCTCTTCTATTACTGGACTTTCTGTAAGTTTTTTTTAAATATAGAAGCTCGCTAAAGTACTTAGTTTCGCTTTGATACTTCGTTAAAATTGATAAATTAACTAAACGTCTCAGCTGATGAAATATTGATCACATAAAACATGAATTACTGTTTTGTGTACTCGATCAATTACACTTAGAAATAAACTAGTTACAGTTAGATTTCAATTTCATTTGCGATTCTAGAATAATTTACTTCTCTAGAAACGTAGTATCCTAGATACTCGCGTTTTACATCACGAAAATGATCGAAATTAAAGAAGCCTGCAGCGAATGAAATTGTCTATAAGTAGATAATCGCTTGGCTGTCAAGAATAATAGGATTAATGTTTTCCAGAAGAATAAAACACGAAAGAAAAAAAAATGTATTGGATCGTGTGACACAATCACTAGTTTTCGGGGTGCTCATTAAAACGGGATAGCTATAAGATTTTTAAGAGAAGGAATAGCGAGGAAATGTAGTAGTATATTCAGAAGGAGACCTCAAATAAGTAATGTATGAGTTAATGATTTGTATAAGTTTATATGCTTGTTACCGAATGATAATCTAGAGAATTGTCAATCGTTACCCTGAGGGATGAATATGGAGATAACGCATTCTTCTCATACCCTCCGGAGACTTCATTAAAATAGGTACACAAAACTTTTAGATAACTTTCTCATCAGATTGACACCATTGGGAGTTAGTGTCCTCTTATCAGTTCTATTACCGACAGAATTTCTTTGAAGAACTGAGGCTAATTATCTTTCTTTTCTTCGTCGTCTCATATACGGGATGTGATAATGCATCGCTATTACATTGAACGTTATTTCTCAAGTGCTATCCACATAAATGTATTGTATATATTGATAGCGTGCTTACGACATTATCAAGTGTCCTATGTGTTTTGATATTTCGCATGAAAGTTACATGAACGGTATTAAAAAAAAAGGTCTGCTGATTTGGTTCTGCAAGCCAAGAAGCATTTAAACCTATCCACCCTTACGGATAAAAATTTATCTGCAGATAAATATCGAAATAAAGGCGTTAACATAGAAGGGTACATTAATAAAGTCAGTTAATCGTGTTTTGTTTCGTGTGCTCGGGTACACTTGTGAATATCAATTGCAAATTGAGTTTAGAACGTTGTTTCTGTTCACAATGCCTAGCTATAATTTTTCGTCACAATGCTTTCAATTTTAGAAGTGTCTTCTTGCCCCTGTACATTATATTTTTCCTGTTAACAATGGAGTCGTGTCGATAATCTTCGTTCGGGAGAAAGTTTTTTGGATTAAAATAACGTGACTTTCGATCCGGATCAGAAGTTCATACATACGTCATCCGGCCCTACTGCCCATAAAAGTTCCATATATGGTCTTGGTTTTATCTATCGAGCTCCGTTCTCGAGATTAGAGGAGGACAGACAGACAGCTTCAGACGGACTCCAGCGGGAATTCGTAGGTCTACACTTTTCGAAAATTAACTGGCATATAATCTTTACAATAGTTTAACTGACTTTGGGACCATCCTGTATATAATAATAAATTTACAACAAATTTGTAAAGTTAGATAGAAATTGGTCGACCAATTTCTAAGTTGCATTCAGTAGCGTAACTCAGTAGGGGATTGGGCTCTCCTGTGATTACGGAAATATGGCAAAGGCCTTTATACACATGTAGTACACACAATATCTAAGATTTTCTTCCTAATCTACAGTACACGTGGCTGTATCCACGGTGGTACAGGAATGGATATAGGTTTGTACTTGTAACCTTATACTAAATTTGCTTTAAAATTATTGCACATTACAACATTTATAAATACGACACGCTAATTAATTTACCATCAGAGATTTAACTATAAAATACATTAAATTTATGCAGAAAAAAAAAGAAAAGGTTGGTAGATATTAATATAAGAACTGTCGATTGATTGTGTGCCATATTTGAAACTATAATAACTCCATCCACTTATGTATTCTCTATCAAAATTCACAATTCGTTCTTTCTAGCAAGTTGATGCGAGAAGACAGCAGCAATTTTCTGCTATAAAAAGCTTGTTTAAACTAGATCTTATACAGGGGTAAGAAAAAAAAAGGAGGAATATATGCATTTATTTTTTCCTCCTTCACAAAAACAGAGATATTGTATCTTGAAATATTCAATTTTTTCAAAGAAATTTTTACAATATTAATTTTCGTATTGTAAGGTTTCTATCTTTCCAGTTGAATAAATTTCCGCCAAATTTTTTGGCTTCTTAAAATCAATATAAATGCTTATATAAAAAAAATCTATCGAATATTTTATATACATTTTTCTTTCTTATTAAAAATAAAAAAAATAATAAATTTAGCTTTCCGCCTTTATTAAGAAGTAATGATTTTTTTTTGAAATTTTTGTTGATAGTTTCTTAAAATGGACACGAAGTGTAGACTTTAATTATAACAAAATCCGTAGATTTTCACGTGATGCACTTTAGCTAGGATCACGTAACGTTACCTGACAACGTCATTTCCGGAGAATGATTATCCTGTCACTTCTTATAACGTCAGATTAGTTCTGTAATGTTCTCTCATTTATCAATTAATTAACTTTGCATCTAAGATAAGGAAAGTAAACTACAATAGACTAAAGCAAGCAGCGTTTAAATATTAAATCATCATCATTATCATCCGTTCGGATCATACCTTTACAAATAATTATTTCTAAAAATACTTAATAATTCTGGATTAATAAAAGGAAAGAAAGCATTTAAAATTGAAAAGCGAAAGGAGGAGGAGAAAGAAACTTTCCACTGTTCGTACAAAGCGAAAAATGTATATTTATTTATTTTTCAGTCGGAATTTGTTTTTCGAGTGGCAATTTCGAAGATATCTTCGGAAATTTATCTCGTAGGGTTTGATAATGGTTTTTAAAGCGATCTTTCGATGAGGGTATTTAGAATTTCCGAGAAGAAACGGGATAAGCAAATTTCGTAATGGATAAAAGTTTAGGAAATTCACAAAAGCTGGATAAATCGGTTCCGAGAACTCTCACTTCTAAAAATGACTACAGTATATAGAAATGATCCATTGAAAAAAAAAAGGTAATCGGCAAAAATTCTTACGTAGTTATATCGTTACTTATTGTTTATTTGAGTTACGCAACTATTACGTATTTCCTATTTTATCTACGCAATTATTACGCAATCTAATGATA